CAGAAGCTTTGAATTGACACAATACATGGAAGTTTTGAACCTGCACTCTCTCCAGGATCACAACATCCATAATCAACCCAGGCTACCAGTGGTCCAGCACTCCAGACAAAAATTTCATCCCAGGCCCATCTGACAGGAGGAAGGGATCAGGCTGTTGTGGGCACCTCCTCATAAAGCATGTCTGCTTTTTCATACCATGTGCCCAGAGCTCATTTCTGGATGATCCACACAGTGTTCTCTACCCAATCTTTTCTATCCACCACAGCCCAGAGTGATTTTTGTCCTGTGAATTTTTGTAATGCCAAACTCCTATGATTTGTCCTATTTAGATCATAGTTATATATTCTGCCATTCATGTTTACTTAGCTTTAGGAGCTTATTCTTGAATAGCCAAGTAGGTTGCAAACTCTTCCTTCCAGGTGACAAGAACATCTTATATTATCTGTAGTCCCATATTTCAACCTTTTTTCAACAACCTAACATGTGATAGCTGCTAATTGATTATCTGGGCTTGTTAGTCACAGTGGAAGTGAATGGTAATTAAGTCTCTCCCTTTACTGGAGTATTGATAGAGATTCAATACTGTAGAAAGTCAAACACCACTGTCTCCTTGGAGAAAGAGATGCAAGCCAAGAAGGGAGCTGCCCAGAATCTAAGATAAATGTGCCAATGCATCATTTTACTGAAAATCAGAGGTGCATTTAGGCAACACTTTCAAATTCTCTCAACTCCTCTGCCTTTATTTTTATTATTGGGAAGATACTAATAGTGAAGAAAATAAAGTGAAATAAGCATTGTGAAATAAGTGAAATAAAGAGTTACTTAGAGTCAGGAGGCTATTAAGTAAGTTAGGCCAAAGCACCCAAGGCCCATCTTGTGTCTCATTTCCAAAAGCCCTATTGCTAAACCTGTTGCTAAACTCAGCTCAAAACATCCTGGAGCCATAAACATCCTGGAACAACAACCTCTACATGGGCATATCTGGACTTTACTTCCTTCCTTATAGGATTCAGCTCCCCCTGAACATATTGGAACTAACCAATCTCTGTTAAGCTAGGCAGCAAGCCTTCATTTGCATGCGAGAATTACATTGTGTGGGTTTGGCCTTTATCAATCTTGCCTTTCCTTTTCTCTGCAGTGCACAGTTTGGGTTCCTACCTGAATCTGCGTCTCGATTGTGATCCTTTGCTCAAATAAATACATTTTTATAGCCTATACCTTTCTTTTGGCTAACAATATGCGTACATATATACTAGTATTACCTGAACTAGGCAGGTAGGCTCTTTTGTGGCCACAATATCCCTAACCTTTGTTTTCCCCCTGGCATTTACCTGAGTTCACCTTGCCTTGCAGCCATCAGTCTGATACCAGAAAGCAGAGGAATTAGCAAAGAGAGCATGGGAAACTAGAGGCATTACTGATGATTCCAATAGAGGAAGAGAGCCAGCATAAAAATTGATTTTAACACAGTAATAGATCTCACACATTGAGCCCCACTATCTGAGATCCACCCAGAAAGGAAAATGCCCTTCCACTTTTAATTTAGTGACAAACCCTAAACCATTGCTTTGTTTGAATCCGAGGGAAGCCATTTTCTTCTAGCAGGACATTGTGGGGAGACCAAGGAAGGGCCTTAGCACTGTCCACTACTTTGAAGAGGCAGGATGGGCCTCTGTTGCTTTTGCCAGAGGCTGCATTCCTCTTCTGCAGGTCCCCTACCTCATTCATTTTAATTAGACAGATGCCTAAATCTTATCTGTAGGTATCAGTCAGGGACAATGCATGGTTTCCTGGCTAACCAATCAGACGTGACCTTCTCTTTCCAGAGACAGGATTTTTAAAAAAGAGAAATCACTCATCTGGAATGTTTCCGTACTAAAACTAAATTTATTTCTCTAACCGTCAGATCCCTGATCTGTATAGCAGGATCTTCTCCTGATAACTGTATTCTTTGACTTCAATTTTAAAATTATGTAAGTAAATACAAGTAGACAGTGATTCTGATTAAAATAAAGATACATGTGTCACTAGTATCAGTTTATTGTAGCATTGCCATTGTTAAATTCCTTTATTGTCACAGGGAAGAGTGAAAGCCAATTTTGGTGCATGTATACTTTGCCTTAATTTAAATACTTCAAAAAAAGCATCAGTTTCTTTTCTGCTATGCAGCTCTTTTGCACATATTCCTAATTTCTCTATTGCCTTGGAAATTATGGTCCAATTGGATGCTCCTTCCCTGTTCTTGTGTAAATCCTCTAAAACAGGAAGAACAAATGTCCAAAAACTATTGCCATACAGTTCTGTGAGAGACACAAATACCTGGAAGTCTCAAGACTTCAAATGTAATACTTGCTGGCCAAAGCCTAATAGGATGAGGAAATTGAGCAAATTTTGGACTTGAATTATTTTAAATATAGAATTTGTTCTAAAGATTTAGGAAGACAGAAAAGTTTTTTCCCCCATATAGCTCTACTTAAATTATTGTTAGAAAAAGAACAAAATTTTTGAGTGAATAATTGTTGGACAGGATAAGTCTACCTTATTTTCTCCCCCATTGCCCCGTCAGCATTACATAAGTATAGACAGACCATCCACTGAGTTCCCAGAGTTTTTATACTCTCTCTGTCTAACTGGTTATGATGCCTACTCTCAACTTAGGTTACAGAAAAATATATCAAGTGGGGGCTTTTTTTTCAGTTTAACAAACAATAAATGGCTTCAAGTGACAGAGCTGTCTTTTCATCTTCTTAAACACAAGCGACATTTTCATTACCAACTTTTGCAACACGGTTCTCAAAACAGCAACGCAAACATTCAAAAGGTACAGTTGAAGGGAGAGGGGAGTAAGAATACATAACTTTGTGCAATTGCTGGAAAACAAAACAGGCATTCATCAAAAGCTGTGGTACATTTACACAGTGGAATACTATGCTGCTATAAAAAAAGGATCTTTTACCCTTTGAGACAGCATGGATGGGCCTGAAGATTATTATGCTAAGTGAAATAAGCCACTCAGAGAAAGATAAATATCACCTATATATGGAATCTAATGAACCAAATGAAATATGAACAAAATAGGTCCAGAGACAGGGAAGCATAGAACAGACTGACAGATCTCAGAGGGAAGGGAGGGAGGGGGCAGGAAGAGGTTAACCAAATAACTTATGTGCATATATGCATAGTTCTTGGACACAGACAATAGTGTGATGAAGGCCTGGGATGGGGTGAGAGCCAGCTGGTGGAGAGGGTCAAAGGGGGGGAAATAGGAGACATCTATAATACTCTCAACAATAAAAATAACTTTTAAAAAATTAGAGGCTGGATCTAACTATAACAAACTTCTTGATCCCGGTCAGGTCACATGGATAGAAATTTACATTCAAACGGAGCACCAAAATAACTTCCCTTCTGGAGGCAGTATAGATTTTAACCTCTTAGCAGGAGTGGCAAGGCTGAAAGAATAACTTTGGGGGGCGGGGGGCTGGAAGCTTGGAGTACTCCACAAATTTAAAGGGAAAGAAGTCAGTTTCCCTGAGACCTGTGGTGAAAAACAGGCCAGGGAGCAAATGTACAAAGCTCTCAGGGACTCCCCAGAGATGAGCACCCCAAGCGAGGCTTTAGGGCCCCATTATTTGAGGTAACCGCCTCTGAAATCACAGACAGGGCTAAACCTATCTGGGCCCCATCGGCTGAAAGCCCAGAATTCCTTTTTGGAAACCAAGGTTCTGGTAACTTTGTGTCCTGGATGGCCTGCAGGACAAACCCTGCATAGTATTAGGACGCGCTACCCAGAGCTATTCCCTTATGCAAAAAGGACCAGGGTGGTGAATTAGGAGGAAAGAGTCTGCATCTTTGGGATAAAAATTACCCATTTCAGGTGCCTTGGGGAATGTCAGCGGGAGCCCGGCCGCACACTCAGGCCCCTCCCTCTTTGATGCCGGACCACGCCATCCTGGCGCCTTCCGGGTCTTTCCGGCACCAGAGCCTATTGGGACCCCAGGGCGCGGCCGTGGCCAACCTAACTGTGGTCTAGCGGCGCTTCCGCGCGTCCAGGGGCCTTGGCGCAGGAAGGGACCCAGTCCGGATCGTCCGCTGCGCCTGGTGCGCTAGGCGTCTCCAGCGCACACCGCGGCGGGCGGGCGCCTCCCACAGTAGGTAAGCGGCGAAGCTTATCCCTCTAAACTCGCCTGCATCCGGACAGAAAGAAGTCCGCTCTTCCTCCCTCTGCCTGTCAGTTTCTTTGGTGAGTGCCGACGCCAGGGCCAGCGCGGGTAAAATCGTGCCGCACTCTCACACTGGCCCAGCCTTGTACTTGCGAGTCCGCTGTAAGAGACAGCTTCTGGCCGTTGTTTTGAATTCAAGAAAGCAAAGCGTGGGCCGTGCTCGGGATTGTTATTGTGCGAGTTTACAGGGAGAGGTGGGGATTCCCAGGGACACCACAGCCACAGCGAAAAGCAAGCCCTCCCGCCTTTCCCGCCGAGGAAACTGTGCCTAAGGTCGAGCTAGGACTTAAATGGAAGCTGGGAAAGGAAAGAAGGGATGAGACAGGGAAAAAGTGAACGTTTCCTGGACAAAAGAGCCAGGAATTGGGATGGGGTTAGGAAAGGAGAAAGTCCTTGAAACTTAAGTCCAAATTCCAGCAGCGGGGCGAGCAGGTGGGAACCCTTATGGTTGGAACGGCGGCGGCTGGGTGTAGTTGACTTTACGTGTGAATTTTTTGCCCTGAACGACTGAGTCTTAAAGTTTCGCCGCGAACATTTGGGGAGCATATGTGGGAGGAGGCGATTGCTGGGACAAAACATTCTGAGGCCAAAGTTAGAGCCAGGGTCGCTTCTTCAGACCCAGGAAGTTTCCCGCCTCCTCTTGCCCCGCCTGGGGCCCCTCCTTGCAATAACGTTCTCCCAGCGAGAAGGTGTGTGTGGGGCGGGGGAGGGGGGGGGGCGGGGGCGAGGTCTGGAAGCCGCAGGCGGAGCCACTGAGAAAGAGAAAAAGCAGCAAGTTATCTTAAGTATTGATTCCAGAGGGTTGCGGAAGGCAACGTGGATGGGGCGGGCCTACTGGGCGGCTGCTCCTCCATCATCATCCGCGGCAGAACTTGCACTTGATGATCTTCTTAAAGGCGTTTTGGAAGTCCTTGTTGAAGTAGGCGTAAATGACAGGGTTGAGCAGCGAGTTGGCGTAGCCGAGCCAGTTTATTATGGCGCCCAACAGACTGGGCATGTGGCAGCTGTTCTCGCAGAAGGGCAGGACCAGGGCCACGATGAAGAAGGGCAGCCAGCAGAGGATGAAGGTGCCCATAATGATGCCCAGTGTCTTCACCGTCTTCCTCTCGCGGGCCAGAGCCATTTTGCGCTTTGCCTCGGCGTTGCGCTCATTTTTGTTCTCTAAGGAGGTGGGAGCACAGGGGACAGAACCCGCCTCACAGGGCAACGGCAGGTGCTCTTTGGAGTGGCCCATCAGGTGCACTTCGATCAACTCCAGGGCTGCGCCATCCTCGCCCTGCCGCACAGCTCCATTGGCGCACTGACTGCCCCCTGCCTTATTCTCCACGCCCTGCCCCCATCCTCTGCTCTCCGGCTCCCCATTTATGCTCCTCCTGGGCTGCAGGGCTGGCGACGCCCCAAAGCGGGTGTCCGTTCTCTTCTTCTCCACCTTCTTGACTGTCTTGCGGATGCGAAAGCGCGCGGCTCGAAAAATGCGCCCATAGAGAACGAGCATGAGTAGCAGCGGGATGTAGAAAGCGCCGAAAGTGGAGTAGATGGTGTAGCCATGGTCCTTGCTGATGGTACACGCGTCGGGGTTCGAGCGGTCTTCGGGGGTGCGCCAGCCCAGCATGGGCGGGATGGAGATCAGGAAGCCAATGAGCCAAGTGAGCGAGATGAGCGCAGCGGCACGCCGGGGCGTCCTCTTGTTCAGGTAGTCGATGGGGTCCGTGATGGCCCAGTACCTGTCCAGCGCGATGGCGCACAGGTGCAGGATGGACGAGGTGCAACACAACACGTCGAGGGAGATGAACAGGTCACAGGTGACCTGTCCCAGCGTCCACTTGTTGAGCACCTGGTACAGCGCGGCCATGGGCAGCACTAGCACCGACACCATGAGGTCGGTGACTGCCAGCGAGCCGATCAGATAGTTGGCCACGTTCTGCAGGGAGCGCTCCAGAGCAATGGCAGCAACTACGCACGCGTTTCCCAGCACCGCACTGAAGATCAGGGTGCCCAGCAGCAGAGAGGTGACCACTTGGTAGCTGAAGGTCACGTCGGAGATGCCGGTAGCATTGCCGTTTGTCCCGAAGGGACCTTCGGGGGACGTAGTGTTGTTGCCCTGTCCGGGGCCGAGCACATCCATGCCTGCGCGCCCGGCAGGGGAGGGGGAGGGAGAACGAGCTGCGCGCGAGGATTCCCTGGCCCCTCCCCCTGGGGTCGCAGCCCCTTTCTCCGGTGGGGGTTTCGGGGGAGGGGATGCAGGGGCTCAAGCAGGAAGTTCTTACTGCTCAGGCGAAGGCATCTCGGAGGAACAGCTTCTAGGGCTCCGTGGGCTCCCTGGGTCCAGCGCGTTCAGGAACTCTAGGTGGGAAACGAGTTGGCCGGAGAACAGCTCCGAGGTCTCAGGGCGACAGAGCGGCGGCCGGAACGCCTGTCTCTCGCTGTTCATTTTACTTTGCCGCTGCCCAACTGGCTGCCGGAGCCGGAGTCTCCCCACCAGCAAAGAGTCTCCAATCCTAGAAGTGTCTGGAATATTGAAACCCCATCCTCCACGGTCATTCTGTGACCCTCCTCTCCTTGACTTTCTCCCTCCCTCCCTCCCACTCTTCTCTTTTTTAAAGCCTCCCCTTCCACTCGCCTTCTCTCCACTAGCCTTCCCTTTCAGTTTCTCTCACCCTTTCTTTATCCCTCTGTGTGTCGCTCAGACAGCCAGTCTCCCTCCCTCCCACGCTAACCCTCCCCTCCTAACACTTCCCCAACCCCGAGTGTCTCTTTCCTCTGGGTGCCCGCCCTCCTCTGCCTCTAGCTCAGCAACTTAGCGTTCAAGCCTCTTTTGTCCCCACACTTAGAACTCGCTTGCATACACTTGATCTCCTGGTCAGACCGACATTGCAACAAATACCTTTGCCTCCCACCCAGCCAAACTCGAGGGGAAAATTCTAGCTATCCATTGCTTTATATTTCTGTCAAATTCTTAAGTAGAGTCGGCATCATACAGTGGCAGTTGGAAATAAGGAAAGGACACACTAGAAGTCTGAGTGGGGGGGGGGTGGTGGTGGTGGACAACCCTAGGTCATTATGTAAATTATGGTAAATTGATGGAATGAAAATGGAGTGTCAGAATTTTACAGACCACCCCATCCATCATTTTACATTTGACTCCCTTGGGGAGGATGTTGCCTGTGACCTTTTTAACCTTGGGGAACTGGGGGAGAAAGGAGTATAAAGTTCCTGTCAAAAGACAAATAGCTACATTTCCAAAGGAAAACACTCAATTCGGTATGTATTTAGAACACACTTACACAAGCCTTCCCATCACCATTTACCTTTTTTTCTTAATTATTGTTCAGTATTATAGATGTCCCGGCGGCCCCCCCCTCTTTCTCCCTCTCTACCTAGCCCCTGCCCCACCCCAGGCCTTCCCCACACTATTGTCTGTACTCATGGGCTATGCATATATGCATATACTTTCTTTGGTTAATCTCCCCTCCAACCGCCCCGAGATCTGCAGCCTGTCCCATGCATACATGTCTCTGGACCTAAATTCAGTGAACATTGCCATTCCCCATAGCTTTGTGGTGAGTAAATTTAGGGAAGGGAATCTTTTGTCTATGTGTTGCAATGAGTTCAGGCATTTTATATGTTTTTTTGCTTTTTTTACCAGAAAGAAATCTCTAAAGGAGAATTTAGTGGAATCCCTGGTCGCTGGCCCCTGAGTTTCTCTTAAACTCAGAAACTGGATTCAGCACCTGGGACAGCTCTAGGCAATCAGGACTTATGCCGCCACCTTCTGGCAAATGCTTTAGAGCGCCATCTAGGAACCCTTGCAAAAATTAAGCAGGTATTGAAATCCCATAACTTCAAGAAAGAGGAAAAAAAATGGTTATTAAAAGAAAAGTAACATTGAGTCATGTATTTTTATTCTATTTCCTTAAAAAAATAGTGTTCTCTTTTGCTCTTAATCATATATACCAAGCTTATATTGTCTAGCTCGTTTTGAAAGCCTGCAGCATCTGTCATTCACAAGTTCTCTCTAGGAATGAGGTTTTAGTAGACTTAAGCAAACACTTTCTCACCTTCATCTGTGATGGTTTTGTTCCAACAAAGCCTGCACTCTGTGACTCACACATTCACCAACGGGGGGGTGGGGGGGGGGGCGCAGATATTGGATTTTCCAAATGGGGATGACTTCACATAGAAAACAAACAGGCTGCTATTGGTTGGTTCTAAGCTATTTCCTTTATCAAGGAAACCATATTTAATCCCATTTGAACATGGGTAAAGAATTATATTCCTAAACCCTAAATAGATATGTAAATAACAAATTCACTTATACATTCTGATAGCATGACTGAAATAAAGGAAGAGTACAGAATGCAATCCCAAAAGCAGATGACTCCAGATAACATGCACAGATTCACTCCAGATAGCAATAGTCTTAATATTATTTTCAAATTTGAGCTCCGAATTTCATAGCTTTCAATTCTTTAAGACCAAGCAAAAGAGCAATCACCAAAGCATCAAAGAAAATCTAATTGTGCCAATGCATACAGCACAGGGCAGTGTGTTTGGAGAAGGATTGTTTTACAGTGCAGTGCTGGGCAGTTTCCACTTAATCACTTCAGCATGCTGCAATAAGGAACCTGACATTTGTAATGATTCATGGCATTGAAAACACAGATGAGGATACATGGTGATTCCGGCTATGGACTCTGAAGATTCTTTTAAAATTTTGTGAAGGTTCTCATTCCCTTTTCTAAAATTTCCTGACAAACACAGAACTAAATAACTTTGTTAAAATATAGTTGCATGTCCAAAGATTATAATAGCAAAATAATTAAAATCTGGATTCTCCTAAGATAAAACTCTGGAAATAGAGTTGATAAATATAAACAAAGAGTAAAATAAATTTAAATTTTAAAAAGTAAATATATACATATTTGTATACATACAGGGGCATATTTGAATAGGAATTATATCAGATTTAGCACATATAAATAAATATATGTCAGTAGATATGTCAGTCAGCAGTTATGCATTCTATTGGATCCCAAATGGTTTATTAACTGACAATTTTTTTTCAAGAATGCTAAAATTTTGAAGTTAATATTCATGAGGACTGGCATTTGCTATTCTACTTTAATATTTTATGATGCAGCATTCTTATTCAAGTTAGAAAAATGTTCATGTTCATGTATTCCTTCAAAATAATGTACACAATATTTCAAACATTTCATTCTTTAAAATGTATAACAAGTTTTTTAGGCATTCTGATGAACACTAGGAAGAAAGCAGATGTATAAAAGGATATGCAGTACTAATTATGCTTTCATACCAAATATAGTGACTAATAAACAATTATGTATAACTTATGTTGAATGATTCTGTGATATATATTAAAAGCAGAATGATGTCGCATTTCACCATGTTCACACTTTGCCAAGTCTGCCGTGTTAACCCTTAAAGATAAAGAAACATATATATAAAAAAAATGGTGCAAGCCAAAGAGTCTAGATAAAGAGTTAGACTCTGGTTCTTTAAGGCCTCTGAAATCAGCCTAAAGAAAAGCTAGCCTTAAAGCAGATATTATGATGACATCATTTGCAAACAATACTTCCAGTCATTCTGCTTTTATTTCTTGTTTGAATTTACTAGATGCAAGTATGAACTTGTCAGTTATGGATCTAGAGTATGATACATCATCCATCATATGAAATTTCTCTAATGTAGTTTATGGGAGATAAAGATTTTTAACATTTTTACAGGAAATTTGATGTAAGCCCAGAATTTCAATGTTGCTCTTTGTCTAGGGACATAGAGATAAAAAGATATTAGGCTAAAGTTTTGCTGACTGTCCTATCATTACTGAAGTCTCAGGAATGGTTGGGGTTTCTCAGTAACTGATATGTTTATCCATAATCCCCAAATTATGGCTAATCCATTAATGAGTCAGTAACCTATATAGTAAAGAGTTGAAATTTTACTTAGGAGATTACAAGAGTGATTTAAAAGCCCCTATTTAAAAAGTTTTTACTTTTCTTCAAGTAATTTGATTAGGATAGGTTATTTTTTTAAACTCAAAATACCATTCTGAATTTAATTCCCCTCAATCCTCAAATGCTCAAGTAATAGGGCAAATGTAGTTTTACCAGCACTGCGAAATTTTACTGGAATTCATCAGGAAAAGAAACTTTAAAGAGAAATGTTTGCTTAAATAATTTAGGAAATGCAGTCTTCTGATTACCAGTGAGAATTAACTGGTCATTTATAAGAAATGCAAGCACAATGCCAGAAAATAAATTCTCCTTTAAAACCTAAACATGCTTTTTATGTGTGTGTGTGTGTGTGTGTGTGTGTGTCTCTAATCCTCACTATCCACTTTGCTCTGATGATACCATTCCTTCACTGCTCTTTCTACTCGGTGAGGCACTTCTCAGAGGCTCAGAACTGGGTTTTCATTGGGAAAATACAAACAGTGGAAGTCCGTCTCTGCTTCTGAGAACCGTAACAATGGCTTCGTTCAGTTAACACACATGCTAAAAACAGCAGGTAGAAAGTGAAAGCAGTGTAGCAATGTGTTCACTAGGTGTGTGACCTTGGGCAGGTTATTTAACCCTTTTGTTTTCTCAGTCGTAAGTGGGTGTGATAGTAGACTTGTGAAGATTAAATGATTTAATCCACTGCTGGCCCATAATAAACACCGAATAAGGTTAATCAATAATAGAAGTAATAGTGATACAAGGTAATAATTATTCTCTCTCTACTGATAATTTCTGAGAAATGTAGAGAAAGAATTATGTGGGCTTAAAGGAAAGAGCCAGAGCCTAAAAAGAAAACAATTAAGGCCCTTTCAGGCGAGGATTTATTATGAAAACAATTTGCACGTGAATATGACATTCTCCCTGTTTCTTAAAGTATTTGGAAAACTTTCAATTTTCTAGGCAATTCTGAGTACAAGACCAGGAAAAAAGATGTGACCTCTGCATTCTGGAACTTCTTTTTTTGTATTTTTTATTGCTTTTTTTGGGGGGTTAATACAGTTATGTAGGTTTCATGTGGTGGAAGGTGGATGTTACACTCACCTCCTCCCAGGACCAAACTGGAACTTCTTGACTTAAAGTATAAATCACTAAGGGGTGGGGGGAGAAAGAATGTGTCAACAAAGGTTTAATAATCAGTATTGGATAGTAGTCGGCCCTTTTTTCTAGGAGTGCAACCTTTTGAGCTCCTAGAAAAGCATAAAATAAATAATTGTATAAAATAAATAATTGAAATTCATAGATTCCCAATAAAATGTTTAAAAGTACAGTAAAACCCAAAAGGTAGTTGCCAGAAGCCAATTCCAGCATGTCATAATTGCAAGAGTTTCATCAAAAGGTTGATGGAACTTGGGGACTCAACAAGGGCTGAGTCACATGTTGTCCCCTGTTGGGAATGGCTGAGGGCATTTCCCCAAACCTGAAAAGGGATGATTGCTTGCTGCCAGACAGCTCAGGGCATCTTAATCTACATGTTATTGCCTCCTACTGGCCAAACACCTGAACAGC